AATGTATTGCTGGGAATTGTAGTTCTCTATAGCTGTTGGTATTCTTTATTGCTGTACAATGTATTTCTGAGAATCATAGTCTTCTAAAGCTATTGGTATTAATCTGCATTGCCATATATTGTGCTGAGATTTCCCTCTACAGCTTGGAGTTAGTGGCAGAACTACCAGGGGCGCAGCAGTCGTAGACCCGCACAGCACTGATGAGGCATCCCTTCACTACCAGTGTGCTTTAATTTTCCTCAACCCATAAATATCTCTACGGTGTCTCTTCTAGGTGTGCATGTCATGAAGAAAGGGGGTCATGAAAACAGCTGATTCGGATGACTCGGCCCCACTGGAAGTGACACAGTCGAGAAAATGTATAGTGGCAGACGGGGGCAGGGAGAAGAGGCAGAGCGGGAGGGGGGACATGTTGCTGCACCATGGGCCTCTGGGTTGCACTTGCCCCCTGGGCTAAAAGTTGCTAGTTAGCCCCTGCTGTATTCCACAACTGCCGGACGCCGAGAGCTGATTTAACTGCGGATGGCATTGGCGTCCGGCCATTGCGGTATGTAGGATTGTGGGCGGTGTTAGACTTCATGTCGCAACTGCGCGGTGCCGATGCTGTCTGCAATTAAATCAGCTCTCAGCGCCCTGCGGTTGCGACATGCAATGAAAATTATTAGTGCCCCCCCAGTTCTGACTGTTGTATCTTATGTGCCCCCCCCCTACATATTGTTCCTAGAGTCGCCACTGTTTGTGACTAATTATGCTTCTAGTTTGCCTGATAAATGTCCCCCAGTGTGTTTTGCATTTGAACACATGTATGGAAAAGACTACATTTTACATAAATAACTATTTTTGTATCATTCCCTATTAAATATTTGATTATAAGCTATAATTTGCAAGGCCTTCACAAGTTTTGTCTTCTGCCAGGTTTTTGCAATTGTTGCCAGACGAAGGTGAAAATCTTCTAATGAGAAAATGTATTATTGTGACAACCATTTAAGAGGGGATTACACCTTGCTTTAGGAAGATTGCCTCTCCTTTCCTGTATTGTCTCCAGAACAGGAAGTGGGGGAACATTTTCCCAATTGGACGCAGGCAGAAAAATAGTTTTTAACCCTTCCCTATTGTAACAAAAAAGATTTGGCTGAAAATACACTTGAAGTAGGAAAGGATAATAACGTCTTGATATACATGACCACTAGAGGGATCATCGCTAATCCTACATATGAAATACAACTCAAAATATGGAAATAGCAAGGCAGAAGAAAGAAATGTGAATGCTCCGTTTAAAATTAGTGTCAGATATCTATTACAATAATAGCTTATTGAAGCTAAGGTATAGTCTCCCTGTCAATAGAACCTTTTAATCCCCAAAGCATGTAAACATGGTGGCACCTTCATGATCCACACCTTCAGCTGTATTAAATGCACTATGTTTATTCCCCACAACAGGCTAAACAGCACTGTTAGTGATATGCAAATTTTGACCTGAAGCCCTTTTCTACATTTCCTTCCATCCCCACCCCCGGGTACTGACTAATACAGAGAGCATGACTGTTGTAGAAAAGGCAGAGGTGTCTTTGACGATTTGCCTGACAGTCTGGCTTTACTTTCTCTATGCTGTGGAACAGCAACTGTTGGGAACTAACTGGGACTCACTTAATCCCATAGAGAATGAACTGGGACTCAGCAGATGTTTTTGGTTCGGTTCAAAAAAGTCCAATAAATGTACAAATTTTCATGTGGAATTTGAAATAATTTAATAATGGAAACACTTTTAGAGAGTGTATGCCAAACTTGTAATTCAACCTCAAAGTGCATATAAAGTCTATTTATTGAGGAGATTTTTCTTCACCTCCTGTACTGGGGACATAGCAGGGAGTAAGAGCAAGTCTCTCCAAAGTGAGGGGACATCTCCACTTAGCACTTGTCCCTACCACAATGTTTCCTCATCGGAAGACCTCTACTCACCTCCTGTTCCTGTTACATCTCAAAAATGTTGGCTTTCCCAAAACTCTGTTTACCAGAAATAATCATCACCAGGACAAAAAATTAAGAGAAGTAATTGCCCCAGCTGGGACACGGACAGGGATATGGACCTGATAGGGGTTCTAACCCATTTAATATTTTACCTAATATTTTGGCTTTACGTACACTTTAAATATACCAAACTGAATCAACAAAATGTTTGTTTTGGTGATTTTCTTTATTATATTTAAAGTGTATGTAAAGCCAAACAGTGAACTTCTCTTATTCTGTACCCTTTGGACTGTTATATATATATGATTGTAAATTGGTGTATTTTATAACGCTGATTGTTATACAAAAGGCATGGGAGGCCAGGCACTACCATGGGGGTACCAATGCCAACATTAAAAATCAAGAAAGCGACGATCGTTTACAATCAACCTCCTTCTACGTTATGCAAAATTCTGCGTGATACCATCATCCGGCGCTGTAATGAGTGTGGCATTCGGTTAGTAATAGGAGGCTGAGTAGAGTGCTTGAAAGCTATAAAAATTCTGCATCTGGTTCACTTCGCCAGCAAATAACCAAAGATGAAATATTGTCTTCTGGAAGATACTGTTGGATTGAATCACCTGCTTGCTTCCTCTAGTTCTTAGGGGATTACCATACTGCAGGCATGTAGGGGATACCACTGCACTCCTGACCGAAAATGCCCCAACTTCCAATGGTGGGGGGGGGGGCGATGTGCTGAACTGACAGCCGATGGCGCGGCTGGATCAGATAAACAAAACAGTAAGTCACCAAAAAGAACTTTGCTTGGAGAAACTTTGGAGTGCTGGTGACTTACTGTTTTGTTTACCATACTGCAGGGGTGGGCAACTCCGGCCCTCCAGCTGTGGTGAAACTACAAGCCTCATGAGGCATTGCAAGCCTGACAGTTCCAGGCATGACTCGCAGAGGCATGAGGGTATTTGTAATTAAGGCAAAACTGGAGGCCCGGAGTTGTCCATCCCTGCCATACTGAGATATCCATCATGCATGTTCTGCTCCCTCCCCCACACAATGGAGACACAATCTGCCTGCTATGGGCAGAGGAGTATGATACATTTTAAAAAATGCCTGTTGATTTCAACAAAAATATTGTGAGCTGATAGCTATCTGTGCTCTCTGCCTGTGCTGGTAGCTGTCAATGACATTGTTTTCATCTATCTCTGAACACTACAGAACCACATCCTTCTCAATTATGGAGAATAGAAAAGGGACAGGGTTTGGTAATCATATATTGTTTCTGTTGTCCTCATACAGAAGGATGAGTGGGCATTGTCACCCTAGAACTGAAAGTGTGTTACTGGCAGAATCACCAGGTAAAAAAAAACGAATGCGGCCACCATCTAAAAGCTTGTAACAACATATATGTTTTTTTGCTTTTGAGTTTAGATACATTTAAAGTTTTAGATCTACCTTACTTTAAAGTGCTAATAAAAAAATGACACTGTAGCATATGATTTTAATAAAAATGATAATAATAAACTATATGTGTTATTATTATTTATTATTTTGTTTAATTATGAACTAGCTAAAAAGGTATAAAAAACACAAGACAAAAACAATCAAAAAGTGGAAGCTTTTTTTTTTTAATATTGCTCTACCATCATCCTGAAAGGCATAATAATTTGACTTACACATCTGAACTGATTGAAGTTACAGATCATGTCTCCTCTTTGCATTTAACAATATATACAATATAAAATAAATACATTTACACAAATGGACATATTTCTGGAGCACATGGTATGATACACATCACAAAAATATACAGTTGATTGCTTTACAGATGTGAAGCCCATTGATAACATGGTTTTCTTTGTTACTCCGGCTATGTTGCAACTCCTGGTATATTAAAATTATCTTATCATATTTATTTTAATTTCTATTAATTTATTTGTTCCTTCAATTATCCTTTTACATTAGACTGCCATCAGATGTGTGTGTATGTGTGTGTTTTTTCTTAGGCAGGTAAACAGAAATGTTTCAATAATTAAAATACAATCACCAACCCCTATTTTTTTTTTAACAAGAAAAATTGCAGTTTCAAATTGTTATATCCCCATTTTGACATTATTCAAAAGCAAAACAGTGTAATAAATACAACTTTTCAAATTCAATTGAGATCGAGAGACACGCAATCACATTGCATTAAATAAGAAATAATAATTTAATTTCAAAATTAAATAAGAAGAGTAAATAATAATTTATATTTTTTTAATCGTACTCCTTTACTATTTTTCTAAACCCCATGCTATTTATGCCGTTTTGACAGAAACGCGAGCGAGCATCCTTCTCGTTTGTTCAGATCTAATGCCCCACTGCTCACAAAGCCATTAGACCTAAAGCAGCCATACTGAACAATACCGAGAACTACAATTTGCAGATATTTAATTAGGTCTGGCGCACAAGTTTTTAAAGTATATCTAGCACATTTTTTAACGTATCAAAGTTTCGAACAGTTCTTGATTTATTGTATTATTGTTATATAGTTAATCTTAATATTCTGAGATATTTGTAGATCGAACCTTGCACGCTTGCATGGGATATATGCATTTCAGTGTGCTTCTAAATGCCAAGTACATACACCTAATACAGTGAAATCAATGTGTACACGATAGTGGTATTTCTTTTTTTGTTTGTTTTTATTTAGTTTTTATAATATCTGTATATATATAGTGTTACTGAAACAACATAAAGCTTTAAAATAAAGTTTTCTAAATATTTAAATAAATAATCTCATTCTACCAGCACCTTTTGTTTTTGTTGGTTTTTTTTTCTCCCAGGAGTTGTAAAAATGTAGTCACCGAGGGGGGTGTACCATTTTTTGAATACCTGTCAGAGTTATGCATTTCAAGGTACTCGCCATCTGAATGAATTGCTAATGATGAGTTATCTAGAACCACACTACAGTCACTTCTCTACTGAGAAACCACAATCTACATAATAGTCCTTAAAAAGCTAATGGTAGATACACAGGTAGATGCCAGGCTGCTGTGTTTTTACCAACCTGTTGTATTCTGGTTAAAAGCACACAGAGTAGTAGAGTCTTGGAACTTTTACGCAAAAAAAAAGAAAAAAATATGAAATGAACGTTTTGAAACAACACGGTGAGTTATTAATATTGGAGATGATTCCATAAAAGCCATATTTACAGCGCTTTAAAATTAAGCTTAGTTAAACATAGAAGATATTTTTGGTGTTCCATTAAGAACAAGTTTAAAAAAAAAATATTTTTGAAAGCCTCATGAGTTTTTTGTGGTGTCATTTTACAATTGGATGTTTTGACCTGCAGAGGAGGCATAGTTTAGAAGAACAGTATTTCCAGGAAGCCACAGGTTAAACTACTCTAGGCTTCCAAGGAGTTGTACATCCAATATTCCTCTAATTCTACCCTGTGTCTAAAAGCGCACGTCACGAGAACCAAACAACCACGAGGAGAACAGTACTATAAGCTTTGAAATGCAACTGAGAAGGAAAAAAATTAAATGTGGAAAAAAAGCACAGCAAACAGGAAACATTGAAAAGCTGAACTACATTTTTTTTTGTTGTTGTTAGGATTACAATTTTAATTACATTTGTGTACATAGATTATGGGCGTTCACGTGATACAGGGTGCAACTATTAACGCTTACATTGGCAGAGCATGTTGATGCATTGCAGGTATTTGTCAGCGACTGCAGCAATTGGGAAAACTGAGGAAGGTACATTAGATTACACCTTTTAACAGTCTCATATCCAAACGGCTAACATGCTGCAACAATACGGTTTGAAAAACCACACTGACTGCTTTAGCTATCTGTATAAAATTGCTGTTAAAAAAAAAAAAAATATTCCTTTTTACATTTATTATTTATATATATTTTTTTTTAATCTGGCCAAAAGAGAGTTATTTATATCATACACTTTATTGCTGGCCTTTGCTTTTTTTTTAACTGCAATATTAATTTACATTTTTATTATTTTTTTATGCAAATTAATGAACTTTTTTTTTGCATTTTGTATATTATTTTTTTTATTTTGTACCATACCAGTTTGCAAGCATCCTCATAATTGGAAGTGGTGAACACTTTAGACTACTTATGTACATCACAGGTGTAATCTAATATTTTAGGGGAAAAAAAAACAAACAAGTATACTAGGATTTACACATTTTTAAGAAACTGAAGGTTTCAAGCCAGACTGGCACACAACATTAATTGCATCCGTGGTAATATGCACCGTCCCTTCATCTATTGCTTGAGTAAGAGACATACCCACATAATAACTGGTTAATGGCTGAAAATTGGTAAAGCTGGTATAAAACAACCTCCGTTTATAATAAAGAAAAAAAATTAAGATTTAAAAAAAAAAGTCCTTTAAAGAGATGTCCTCATTGTTCATTGTCGCTCTAAACAATATGCATTTTGTATCATTATATATTAATATTATAATTATTATTATTTTTAATTAATATTGCATGAATGAATAAAGCTCAAAACTATTCCCTGAAAAAGTTACATAGTACTGAACTGAGAATTATCTGGAAGACTTGAAAAACAATACAGGAATCAAATGGCTAGGTGGCCTAAACGGAGAACAAAATGCAATGAAGCAGCCAATGACATGTCGCTCAGGGTGTCCAATTAGAGACTGCTCCCAAGGAACCTTAATAGCGAATTAAGTAATTGTGTTCTATTGTGACGCTATATAGTTTGTTTTTTTCCAATTCCTTCAGTTATTGGGGGCATAATGGGCCATAGTAAAGTCAGTGGCATCCTATGGATTTCTGTCCTTTGGCAGGGCTGGCTTCCATCTTTCTCAATTAAAGACTTAAATTTTTTTTCAGTTCATCAGCAGCAAAAATGGGAGAGGAGATACTTCACCAGTAAAATGCAGAGGAAAAAGTGAAAAGCTGCTCCAGTCTTTCTGCTGTTGATCAGTGCAGTCATTTGCTTTAAGTTCAGTACATTGGTTGCCATCATAATTTTGTCGTGTTTTCCCTTCTTCTATTGATGGTGGTATCTGGTCACCAGAGACTCTTTTTGTCAGACCTTAGCCTCAAGCATTTCCAAAAACAGTTTGTGCATAGGAACTTTCCCTTCCAATTTGATGTTGTAGAAATGTTGGACGGCCCTAGTGGAGGTCTGTCGGAGAAGTGGCAACGTCATCAGCAACTTGCCAGCTCGGCGGGGATCTTCAATGTGCTGCCCAGCTTCGTAATCCTGCAGAGCCTCATGTAAGACGTCTTGGAGCTTCTGAACGGCTTCAACATCTTCTATATGCATGGAGTCTAAACAAAAAATTAAAGTGTTTAGTTCCTAAATTCACCACATAAAATGTGTCATTGTTTGCAATGTAAACAGTAATTTGTTGATAGCAAATTTTTGGATTCTCCTAAATCTATGCATGAAGGTATGTCCAAGCTACTGAAACTTACACAATTCATATCTGCAAAATTAAACTGCATGGAAAACTAAATCTACACAGAAATATGCAGACACATAAAAATGGATCAATGGGTGCTTCTCCAGATCTAATCATCACTTTTTGTACACCAAATGTTTGGACTAATAGCCGGGAACAACAAGTCTTGACCATTCCCCACCATAACAAACCGATGAGACCATGGCTATTGGTGTTCTCTTTAAGTAGCGGGGCAGCTGGGGGCAGTCTTGGGTCAGGATTAAGTCAAAGGCTTATGTTACATCATGCATTTGTAATCAGAAAGCACCCAAGGTATACTCGATAGTATACTGTATAATCTGGAGCTTTACAAAGCAACTTGCAGTATCCTTTTGGTACCTTCTCTTTCGGTCATGCTTTTTGGTTAAAGTGACACTAAACTCAGGAGTTAAATCATGATAATGCATTCAAGTACCTTAACTATTAACAAAAATGTATCTTATTTGTGTATCACTCGACTGTAGATCCTCAAACCATCCTTGAATTAGTGCTGACACTGTTCTTCCTTCTGGGGGGGGGGCTACTTTTGTTCCCCATGGTCCCTGGTCCCTGTGTGTGTTGTAAAGTTGCCACCTCTCCAAGCTCGCTCTTGTGACTACAAACGCAATACAAATTGGCTAACTAAATGTGAGATCGAAGTCCATCACGAGAGCGAGCTTGGAGCTGTGGCAACTTTACAACACACACAGGGAGCATGGGGATAAAAGTAGCCCCCCTGCAAAAGGAAGGACAGTGTCGGAACCAATTCAAAGATGATTTGAGGATCTACAGCCGAGTGATACACAGATAAGATACATTTTTGTTATAGCACTTGAATGCATTTTTAAGATTTAACTCCTGAGTTTAGTGTCAGTTTAACAAACTTAGCAAATGCTGATGGGCTATTTTCAGAATAAAAAGTTTTTGCCACTGGAGGATTGTTATAACAAGTTCTTCCTTTAGTAAATCTGCATATTTTCAGACACAGTAGTAGATTTTTTGTTGCAATAGGATACAAGTTGGCTGTGCTGTTCTCTGCTTTGACTCTTAACACATTCAGAGAGCAGGTTTGTGTTGTATTCCTAGAGATAATTGTAAAGTAGTTACTTACTGAAGCTATTAAGCCCAAAATTAATATGTAGCAAAACTTATAGGCAAATGTCCTTTAATATTCTTTTGTCATAATGGCCATCGCTGCTGCCATGATTGAACTGACTAACACAACTGCGGTTAAGTAGAATATCAGTGAACAGCGACCAACTGATGAAGCTGTACATACTGTGGTGCTGAGCTGTACCAAGGTCAATTTAAAGGGAAATAAACCCTTTAAACAGTGTTGCTTTGTCAAGTGAATACCAACATGTTATGGTCGTCAAGAGGCTAAAGGGTATGTAAACTTTTTTGATTTTGTGAGATAGTGTTGAGGTGATAGAACTCAGGGGGAGTATAGGGAAATCTTTTAATAGGAACACTGGTTCTGGTGACAACTGTCTAAGAAATGTTTTCCTTAATTTAGAACTATTTCCACTCACTTCCTGTTGTTCATGGGAGACTAAAAAAAAAAACAGGCAGGGGTTTTGCCATTCCCTATTGTATCCAAAATGAAAATAAACTTAAACTCAGCCATAGTTACACTGTAACAGCGGGTAAAACTAACAGACCCTTGAAGTCACTGCTAGGAGACCAATGATTGACAATAACAATGTCTTGTTAGACATTTTGGCATCAGGTGACTGATTTTTAGCATTTGGGATGGAAGCTAACTCAAAAAAGTTCCACAGTCTTTGCTGCATGCTCTGCATCTTTTCTAGTTCTAAAGTAAGCTGCACTGCACACTACTGGCAAATACAGTCAGGTGTGTGTGCTTTCCATCTGATGTGTTTTCTGTACACATAGTGGCCTTTAAATTGTGCAGCAGTGGTTACCACATCAGAAAAATATTTGTATCAGTAGGAAGGGCCAATGAAGCGTGCATTATTCAGTATAATTATATTAAAAGATAAATATGGCCTAACCTTTTTTCCCCATAGTTCTCTTTAGGGTCACAGGAGGGCATATACTAATGTCCTCCTGTGACCCAAAACTCGGCATATAGCAGACTATTTCCTGCTATATGCAGACAGCACAGAGCTGCACTGCAGCCGGGATGGATACCAACAATATTGTAAGGATCCACCCTGCTGCCTGATTGACAGCTAACTCTGACTCTCTTGAGGCAGAGCCAGCTGTGCCCGCCCTCTCCCCCATCCATTCCTCCAGTCAGTGCTGGAGGATCTGATAGGCAAGGGGGGGAGGAATCATTGCAGGGAGTGGTAGTCACCACTCTCTGCAGGGAAAAGATCGTGAACTGAGAGATCAGCAGTTTGTGATCGCTCAGTTTCCGATCAATAGAGCCGACATGTGACAGCTGCAGTGTGACATGTTGGCTTCCAAAAAATGGTATAAAATTCATTTCAGTACAGCGCTGCATGACGGAATAAACGTCAGTCAAAGTACCGCAGCGCTGAATACTGAAAAATGGCCTGGCCAGGAAGGGGGTCTAAACACCTGGTCTTGAAGTGGTTAAGGGGTTGATTGTATTTCACTCTCCTGATAATTCTCCTTTAATAAAACACAAGTGCATAAATAAATGAATAAAATAATAAAATGAATAATCTTCAGCAATATTGCAAAACTATTTCCCTCCCTTTAATGCCACTAAAATAATTACTGCAAACTGCTAATTGCAAAATCAATTTGAACAAAAAAAAGTATTTCTAAAACTAGTCACGCATCCTCTCTGTCTCCCTCTCAGGGGGGCAATTTGGGCAGAAGGTCTCATCTCACTCGAGCCACGCCAAATCACGAGTTGTCATCCGCAAGTAAGCAAAAGCAATCTGGTTTTTCATTTTTCAGCGCGGCTGAGCCCAGCCTGGGATTGATCGTCGCATATGGCCCCAGAAAACAAACTGTCAATACTTTGAATGCTCCAGAATTTGAACAAATAGCCGCCTGCCCATTGAAGCCACTCATTGCATCCCATTTAACAGATTTTATTGACAGTTTCCTTCTTGTAATTAAAGGGAAAACTACTGGCCAGAAACCAAGATAAAGTTCAGAGAAAGGGTCAGAACAAAAACAGATGGAGGGGCACGGTGTGGCTGTCAATGGTACATGGCATCAGTGCGTGTTATTGACATACAGGTATCTAATGATCAGCGTGTGATTAAACACGGCTTTGTCTGCAACTATATGTAAATGCTAAAAGGGACTTAAGGACCATAGGAAATGCATTAGGGTTACACAAAAGGGAAAGAACAAAGCCCAATGATTTTTACTTATCTCATACTGTTGACTGCTTCAGCACTTTTGAGTTTCTCACGTGGACTAAATGGTTTTTGTTTAACCCTTCTCACGGTAACTGGCTGCTGTGCTTATTGAAACATATGATGTCTCGATCTGATTGCCTAGACTTCTTAAATAATGGAGTCAATAGATCTATAATCTCTAATTTTAACAGCTGTTTTAATCAAGTGTGGGAAGCTTGCGGCCACCTTGGTGGAAAACCAAAAGACTTAGCATGCTCTGACTGCTGAAGGCTTGAACCGGTGATGGTGATTTCAAACTGAAGTTTATTCTTCTTATATTTTGCCTTTTCTGGCCCTTCCTCCCCCCCCCCCCCCCCCCCCCCCCCAACCCTTCATTTTTT